TGAGCTGCTAAGTAGGTGCCCAGGGTACTGTGTTTTGAGGAATCCGAGGCTATGTCTTGTATCAGCCAGAAAGCCTTGACTGATAGCGTGGGGCTCATGTGTCATGGAGTTGCTGACTTGTATCCAAATGCCTCTCTCTGCAGTAGATGGGGCCACTCTGGGAGAGCCCTCCACAACCCAGCTCATGCCGGTCTATGTATTGTTTACATTATTACACGTACAGTGCTGCTCTAATCACCACAGTTGCCACTGTCAACGGCATCAGCCATCTGTGTGCCTGGGAAGAACAGCTACTGGGGCAAACAAAATTTACCCCCTGTTGGCTTTCAAATAATAGCACCAGGAGGTACTGAATGTCAAGGTCTTATCTGAGGAATGATAAAACAAGGAGCTTGGAGCTTCGTGTGCTATCATTAGAGCAACCACATTTGTTATAGAAAAACGAACAACAATTTATGTTTTGAGTCTCTCTTTCTCTCTTAAACCACAACATTCTGTCCCACGAGCTGAAATGGTCCAGTATCTATAGAAGGCTGGTTTGATTCATGACTCTAACCATGTCAGTTCTGTGGTATTAAAAATAAGCCCTTGGAATTAGAGCAAGGCTTTGCTTCAGGTAACCTGGTTATGGAACATGTGCGCATCAGAGTCAGTGACCAGGAAGAAACAGGTCTATGTGCTAAATTCATATTATCAATGGGTTAATGGTGCACCTGTGGAAGACAAAGATGAGTTTCCTCATGAAATAGCCATGTTCTGAGTGTTGCCGTAGCAGTGGGAGCCAGATAGGCGGGCAGACTACAGTCCTAGGAGATGAGGCACAGTAAACCTAAGGGACCTCTGACTTAATATACAGAGACAAGAAACTAGACACTTCCAATGCCATACAAGTACATCTAAGGGTAGCTCCTGTTTGCCTGTGGTAGAAAAAATGACCACAAAACATTTCACACTGACATGGAGGCCGAAAATCGCAGTAGAAACCATTCTTTGTTGTGTGAACTGGATAGGTTCTTTACCATTAGTGAATTTCAGGCTGCTCCTCTGTAAAATGAGAAAACTACTTCACAGTGTTGTTAAGTGGATCTAATCAAATGAGACTGTGTATATAAAAGTCATGTGTAAATTATATAGCACTGTACAATATCAGGTATTAGTAATAGTAGTAGTGCCTCATAAGGATATTTCAAGGTTCAAAAGAGATCATGTATTTGAAATCGTGTGGAAAACTCTGGAAGGGTACAAATGTAGAGTGGTAGTTGAACTAATAGCATCAAGGCTTTTAGTTATGGGTGGCTAGAGATGCTGTGAGACATATGTGAAAGAGGGTATAAGAGCACTGTGGAAATAAAAAGTTCAGAGCATTTTTTAAAATGGGAGATGAGCCCTGGAATTTTCCAGAACAGAAGCATCAATGTCAATGGAACTGTGAGCAGGTTAGAAGTCATCGTTCAGCCAAGTCCTGAACGTTTTGTATTTAATAGGCATTTTTGGTTATAAGAAAAGGAGATTGACTCAGGTTATAAGAAAGAAATGGAGATCCATTGATGGATACATGTAGACAGAGATCTTTACCACACCTCATGGGAAATTGAAAACAGCCAAGTCCCATGGAGAATGGAATGCATAGCAGGAACTGGGAGGTTATGTAGGATGAAAAGCAACTGTAGGAACTGGATTATCTTGTTGCCCTAGAGCGACAGGAGTTTCTAATTTTCTCCTGTTCATGTCCCTACACAACCAAGAAACTCATCTTTTCCTCAGTATGTCACTTGGTTTCTGCTTTCTAGTACTACATCCAGACTTACCTCAGCTCCTGCCTGCCCACGGTTTGTCTTGCCTGTGGCTTCTACTGTTCTACGTTCCTGCTGATTGTTTCTTAGCTTCTGTTTCCTTCCCACCTTCCAACTCACGAATCTCTCTCTCTCTCTAGTTCACATTTAGACTCTTCAGGAGAGAGAATCTGAGACGGTCCATTTATCCCATTGTCTGCTGGATGTGGTTTTTTTGTCAGGCCAACTCAGACTGACTGCTCTTAGGTCAGGCTTCTATACCTGGACCAACTAGTTACCTGTGGTCCAGGAGGTAGGTCACATGGTATGAATATACCAATGTATGTCTCAAGAACCCCTTAGCTTGGGGCTGTCAGTTGGGACCCTCTTGGCAGGGCATGAGGCACGAGTCTGTTGGTGGGCACATCTTCTAGAGCTTCAGGATGTATGTGAGGGTGCTTGGAGCTCTGTGGTTTACTTCCCATTACTAAGTCAGTAGAAACCCTGTAAGGAACTTTCTTTTAGGACAAACAAATTAAACATACCCATCCCCCATACAAAAATATGATGATGATGGTAGAGAAGATGAAGGAGGAGGAGGAGGAAAGAGAAAGGAAGAAAAGTGTGAGGATTTTGAGATATCTTGTGTGAAAGCCTTTCTCTGAAAGCCACTCTGAAAAGAGACAGGAAATGTATGTTCTCGAGTGCCAGGAATAGTGTACTTGGCCCAAATTGAGAATTATTTCAGATTCTGGTTATTTTACCTAAAGCAGAAGCAAAGAAGCTTCTTCAACATCCTTAAGAATCCCAGAATTTTGGAACAGAAAGAAAGCTTGAGGTAACCCCCCTCTTCGTTTTGCATGGTCTAACCCCTTCACCATAGAGAAACAGAAATGTGGGTCACTAGGGAGAGAGTGCCTTTGCTCTGTGACTGCAGAACAAAGGAATGATTTCAGCTAAGGGATTCTCTGCCCTCGAACTGCTAACTCTAGTCAGATGGATTCCACTGGGGCCCTTGTGGAGATGAAAACTTGATTGGCTTGAAAACTTAACCCCTGCCATTTGGGGTAGCTAGCTGGCCTGGAATCGTTGTCAATATTGCTTTTATAAAACAGAAATCTGCTTTTTCTGTAAGAGGGTGGTGTATTTTCTAAAATTTGTCTTCAGCCCTTGGGTGTTTCCATGCCATTTCTGTATGTCCCATTCTCACCTCCAATTGACTCAGCCTCAAAGTTGTTCCCAAATATCTAGAAGAAGGAGCCATCTTGGTCTCTGGTCAGCCTATTAAGGCTGTGGCCACTAAGAGCAAAAACAAACCAAATACCACTAGCCAAATGCCCCGGCAGCTAAACCAAACTCTCAAACTTAATCACACAAACAATGGCCATCCTGGGTGAGCCTTTTTATAAATTTTGTGTCCTGCCAACAAAAAACACAAACAATATTGCCACTGGATTTTTAAAAAATTTCACATATTATGGTGATAGCCAAGATTCTCATTATTCTTAAGTGATAAAATAACTAAAATATGCATTAGGTATCTGTTGTTTTAACTGTATGGCCTTGGGCAAGTTACTTAGTCTTTGTACTTTACTTTGTTTCTTGTCTGAACACTGGATTATTAATTATCCTAGCCCCGTGCATGGCTTATGGCAAGTGTTTAATAAACACCACCTATTAATATTACATACCATTTTATTTAGTCATCTTAAGAACTTTATGAAGAATGAAGCTTCTGTGAAGCGAAGTAATTCACTTAATTTCTAGAAGGTACTAAGGGAGAGAGAGGAATAGGAAACAAATTTTCTGACTTCAGTTAGGTGGCCTTTTTGCTCATCAGAACTACTACCCACAAACCCTATAGTTGGGAGAATGTTCTGAGGAAGGTCCCAGAGCTGGAAAATATCTTCCTGCTTTTCTCTTCTTCCCAAAGAGGGCTGAGCAGGGGGAACCTGGATCTGAGTCTCCGCACCCAGGATTCAGGGACCCCACCGCAGTCCCTATCTCGAGGTTCCTTTCCTACTGGGCATCTTGAGAACTTCCTGAATGTTCACCACCCCTCTTCCCTGAAAGGTGGAAGGATCCTCGACTCTGGAGGTGTTTGAGGAGAACTGTGTCCCTCCTCCACCTCTGCCTATGGTTGGGCCTGTCTGCCCTTCCTTAAGAGACCTCAAGCACTTCTTGAGAGACCTCAAGAAGCTAGGCTCCTTGCCTCGGAAAATCAAAATCAAAAAGGGCCTGTCTGCCCTTCCTTAAGAGACCTCAAGCACTTCTTGAGAGACCTCAAGAAGCTAGGCTCCTTGCCTCGGAAAATCAAAATAAGGCTCACCAAGTTTCACTTTCTTCTTAGGGTAGCTACTGTGCATGGAGTTACTCAATAAGATTTATCAAGGGCACCACATAAAACATGGAAGATTTTTCTTAGGTGATGAAAAAGGTGGCCCTTCCTGGGGAAAGGCCACCCTGTTGGCCACCCCTTCCAAAATAGCCCTGTGGACTAAAGTTCTGGGAAGTCCGAGGAATGGCATGGGCATGATTTTATTGGCACCTGTAAATAGGCAAATTGGCATCTCTTCATTTTCTTCTTCACGGACAGATGTGGCAGTGGAGCTTGTCCTTAGATGCCTGCCAGAGGCTAATTTGACTGCAGTTGGTATCGTGGAAGAGATCAGTGAAAACTGAAGTGAAAGAAAAACTAGGATTCAGAGAAACCAGGCAGAGTCTGGAACAGGACTTGTGTGTAGGTCATCTGGAAAGCATGTACCCTTAGGAACTATGCATCATAAAAGCCCTGAGAAGAGAACAGAGGTGGGATGAGGTAGAGAAATGTCCGTGGGCCCAGAAACCCATTCAAACGCACACACAGCCGCATGTGAACACCTGAAACAAATGTGGCTCTTAAGACTTAGCCCCTAGCTTATTACGTAATCACTGACTTTGTTGGCTTGCTTGTGTGACTCAGGAAAAGATTTAGACTACTTCCACTCCTTCCATAGACCACTGCTAAATGACCAGATGAGAACAAGTCCACGGCCTGACCTAACTGCCAGCAGCCCATGAATGCTCCAGATGGTGCAGAACTCACAGCAAAGGAATTCATATTCTTCTTGTTCCGCCCCCCCGCCCACCATGAAGAAACAAAGGCCTCCACTTTTGACCCTGGCATTCCCTCGCTGCTGTCTTCTCTTCCATGACACCTAGGTTTGATTTTCTTTATCTTAGGTATTCCAGTGAATATTTGCTGAATTTTAATTTAGATTGAATGCAATTCAGAAGACTGAGGCTTTCCAAATTTCAAACCTCCTGAGAAAGGTGTGTGTGTGTGTGTGTGTGTGTGTGTGTGTAAGAAAGAAAATTTCTCTGCTTGTCTCCTCACCGAAAGGCCTTCTGGGATCTCTGAGCTCAACCCAAGGAAGAAAGCAGATTGGTTACCTCCGTCTGGTGGGTTTTATCAAAATGTGATAAAACAAAGTAATGAAAAATGGTGGGCTGAATTCATTATCATTCAGCGAGGGGCTCTGCAGCTAACGGCTGTAACTCACTCGCCTCATGACAGTTTTTATTGCTCTGTTTCAGTGCAGTTTTGCAGAGTGAGGGGAATTGCCCTATACAACAGATGTGGGGGACCTTTTTCTTTTTCCCTGTCCTGTGGATGGGCCCTGAGGCTCAGCGCAGTGACTCACTGCTGTGGTATTATATGCCTCCAGATTAAATGTGTGCTGTGGAAAGTGTGGGGCAGGATTTATCAGTGAGAGTTCTTCCTTTGAAGTATCAGGGCAGGCTACTTGGCTGATGGTTTCTGGAACCTGGCCAAGCCCCAATATGCTGTGAAAATAGCCGTCTTAGGTTTTCTTGGCACACGAGCACATTTGCCCTTGATTCTCAGACCTCCACTGCTTTCTGATGTCTTTGAGGCAAGTGTTCTTTGGAATTAGGGCCCGGGGCCAGATTGTAACCCTGCCTGTTTGTGCCCCTTCAAATGCCCCCCTCTGAACATGGTTTTGATGGCTCCAGATACCGGTTGTAACACCAACTTGAATAAGGATATCCTTGAGTTCCCAAGTACGGGCTGGCCTTCTGAGTTGCTTTCAGGCATTTGTGTATAAATTTCTCCCTAACTCGCATTTCCTGCTGCCCTGCCCCCACTAATAAAATGTGGATGCTTAAGGGGTTTTACTGCAACAGTGCTTTCCACTACAATGTGTCTTTGCATTTCCAGCTTGAAACTAATGCAATATGCATGTGGAGAAAAACCTCAGTACCATTACAACTCTACCAGTAAATTAAGAAAAAAAAAAAAATCCACCATTCTCTAGTGAAAAATCCATCATCTATCTGCCTGCCATCTTTCTCCTCCTACCTCTACTCATCATCATACTGTTATTAATTTTGAGAACAAAGGACATAGAAAGCTAATTATGTGAGATTCCCAGACACCCTTCCAGAGGTGAATACATTGGCCACATTTCTCATCACCCAGCTATGTGTAACAAATAGCTTCCTTGTAAATGCAGATTTCCCAATAGACTCCCCATTTCAGGTTTCCCTCTAGCCTGAGAACCAGACTCTGTCCTTCCTGATTTAAATCTTGCCAGCCTGTGTTTGAGAAGCCATGGATAACCTTGCTGAGCATCTTTCTGCCTCTACTTGCTGAGAGGGCAGACTCTTTAATAAGGGCAACCTGATAAGACGGGACTTGGATCTGAGAGAGGGCTCAGAAAGCTGTTGTGTCCATGTCCATTTACCTCCTGGTTGAAGATATAATTGAATGTATTTGCCAGCTGGGTTCTGTTGTGAGTTGACTTGTCCCCAGCCTCCAAATTCCTATGTTCAAGTCCTAACTCCATCACCTTGGAATATCACCTTATTTGGAGATGGACACTTTGCAGAAATAATCAAATTAAAATGGGATCTTTAGGGCATGCCCACATCCAGTATGACTGGTATCTTATAAAGAAGGGAAATTCAGGGACACTCACACACAGGGAGAATGAAATATGAATGTAAAATAGTCTCATACAAGCCAAGGAGAGAGGTCTGGAACAGATCCTTTCCTATAGCCCCCAGAAGGGACTGACCCTGCTGACACCTTGACCTTGGACTTCTGGTTTCCAGAACTGTGAGATAATACATTTCTGTTTTCTAAGCCATTTAGTCTGTGGTACTTAGTTACAGCAGCCCTAGCAAACTAATATAGGTCTCTTGGACAGCAGACTCTGAGGAAGGGGTTGGCATGAAGGAAGTTTGTAAGGGAGTACTTTTGGGATAAATTCCTATAGAAGAGAAGAGAAAGAAGCAGACTGGGAAGAGGGAGATATCAAGCTGTGCTGAGATGTAGTCCCACTGAAGGCCTCAGCTGACTCCTTGGGAAATTCTGGAACTGAGATGGCCCTTCGAGTTAGAATGTGGGTCTGGGCCTTTGTCCCCTCCTGTCAATCTGTCTTTGGGTGTGGGCTGCCTCTGGAAGGAGGTATGACCTTGGGCAAGGTGATTTTCTTCAGCCAATATAATTCCTGAAGAAGGTTGATAGTAGCGACAGTGTTTTGGGAGCAGACCAAGTTGTTGGGGGCATGAGTCCTTCATTCCTCAGGAAGGATCTGGGTGGCACATCACAGCACCCACCATGAAGGCATGTCATAATAGATTAGTTGGCTGAAGGATGGCTTGTCGTATTTCATGATTTTCAAAATGGAGTTTAGCTTTGTAAGTTGTGGTGCTCTGTTCAGTTCACCTTTCCTCATCTACCTTAGAGATGAAGCAGGCTGTGACCCCCCAGCCTGGAGCTTCTTCTGGGAGAGAGGTGGGCTGTTGGAGGGGTATCACTCAATATCTAGACAGAAAGACAGAAACTGCTCTGGATGCTTTACATGGAGGGGGATGAATAGAGAAAAATTTTACAAAGAAACTAGAAGGGCTGGGGGCAGCACAAAAAGGAGGGAGTTGTTCCGCAGAGATCAGGATGCTGGTTTTGACTGGGGTTGGAGCCTACAGGCCCACACTCTCTGCTGAGCGGCTGTTGCTGCTACAATTGCTGTTGGATCTGTGCTGTTCCCTCTGAACAGGAACCCAGGATGCCACATTTTGATGCTGCTGAGACCAGGGCTGATACTGCCAGAGCTCAGATTCAACTGGAAGCTTCTGGGCCCCATCGTTGCTGGTCCCCTTACTATTGTTGTTAATGGTACTGCCAGCAACAGGCAAAAAAGCCTCTTCTTCCCCATATCTTCTAGTTTCTGCTGTAGCAAGCGGATTGGCTCCCAGTCACCTGATGTAGAGAGGACAGCATGGAAGAACAGGTAGGAGTCTCGGACATCAGATGATAGTCCTCTGTGGGGCCACTCTGAGCGACACTGGTCAATCAATGGTGCTGAGAAGGAGGACCAGTGACTAGGAATGGAGCATCACAGAGAAATGGCCAGGAAGCTCCTTCCCACGTCTGAGGAGGGAACCCATCCACAGAGTAGTGCACAACTTCAGAATTTGATTGATCTCACTACTGTCTATTTCCTGCCTCACATCTCTCTACTCCCCCTGAGGAGAACAGAAGTTTCCCAACCTATCTCATGCCAAGGCCATCTTGGTAAAAAGGAGCTTTGTTTTGAGAGGTTATGTTAATTACGATCTTGTAGAAACCAAGTCTACTAGCTCTCAGCCAATATTCTCTTGACCACACCATGTCACTGCTGCAGCCCTGCCTTCCTTTTCCTTTCTTTCCAGTTCCTAATAGGAATGCTGGGTCACCATGAAGCACAATGTGACATTGACCACAGAAGTGCCTACTTGATCAACAAAACTACCCTGGCCCTTCAGTTAAATACCTAGGAAGGTAAGAATTTCCGGTTATTTGTTTGTTTTTATTGTATTTATTAATAAAATAATAGCATCTACCTTATCATAAGTAAAATTTCTTGTGTTTATTGTCTATTAACTTTTTCAAAGTGATTTTACATCATTCTCTCAGTAGCCTTGTGATACATCCTAAGTTGCCCTTCATTCATCCTTTTGTTTCTTCAGGAAATATTTCCTGGGTGCCAACTATGGGCAAGTGTTTATGTTACAGAAGAAGAATACAAAGAAGAAGAAGAAGGAGGAGAAAAGGAGAGGAAGGAGGATGAGGAAGGGGAAGGAGAAGAAGAAATATCCCTATAAAAGCATTTATCTTTACAAAGAAGGAGTCTGCTTTTACAAATAAAGCAACTAAATTTCAGAAAGAAAACTTGTCAATGATACCAAAATTTTAGATGGACAAACCCAAGCCATTCGGATGAACAACTCCTATCTCATTGAAAACTAAAATGACATGTTCAGTAGCATTCAATTCTAAAGATTCTAGTTAATGTCTCTTATTATCTCAAATGTCATCTGATTATAGATTGATATGTGCTTGGTATAAGGTTACTATGATGCATTTTCATTTGTCCTCATGGAAGGTGACAGAGCAGGCTTGATGTTTTCCACATTGCTTCTCTCTGTAGATACAAAATAAGCAATATATTGTATTCCTTCTGCCTAAGCATGTGGTTGGTATAATTTTTCCACAGACAGCTGAACTCAACAGCCTGTGCGTGGTGGTTCAACAGGAGTACAAAATGGTAGGTGATAAAAGTTGTTAGAAGAGATTCCTGGGACTTCACTAGGCACTGCTACCAGAGCCACCCAGTCAGATTACATGGCAAGCTCAAAGGTACTGCCAACTCTTACAGACCAGATTCTTCTCACCTAGAATTTAACCCACCAATCAGATCCTATATTGCTCCTGAATTTTAGAGGCTTGGTGAGAATTTTATCAAGCCAACACTGCAGTTAGTAACCACCAAGAACATTATTTTAGCCACCTAGCAATTTCTTTCACTCATGAGATATCTTTGAGTATTCCTTCAAATCATACTTCTGATTTCAAATAATAAGCTGAATGCATTCTTCTCTCTTTTGAGCTATCAGTGCGCTCAGCAGAGGCACTGATGTTACCATGGTTTCCTTAGTGATGCAGGTGTTAGGAAGGGGAGAGAGAGTGTGGTTGGAGGAGGCAAAGAATGAGTACAAAAAGGGACCTTGATATTCTTTGTCAGGGTGCCAGCAAGATTTCACTCTGCATGTTGGGAATGAGGGTCCCACTGGTGAAAATCACCCTGGCAACGGAAGCTTTGTTCCCCTTACTTAAAAATTGTGAAGCATATTCTGTGAGGCAGGTATTTTTTGATTTTAACTCCTAGAATAGACAACCAATTTTTCCTGATACATCTGGGATGTTTCCTTAAGACCACAAAGAAGAGAAGGCAGTTTTGTGTTGCCACAGTTGTATATGGGTTTAATTTGAAACTATTAGTTTCATTAGTCTTTATGTTCTAATTATATCTCTACATTTCACCCTGTAACACTTTATTGCTCAAACAATTTGGCTCAGAAAATAATTGCCATGCTCTTGCATAGAGAATATACAAAACAAAGGATTATTGTGCCAGGGCTGAAGGAGTGTTTTTTGATTAATTGTTATCCCCTTTGGTGTTTTCAGTAGGAGCCAGCCCCGAATGTTCAGGAAGGCATCTGAGTGTTTGGGAGCCATCAAGCAAGCCCTGCTAGGGTGTGGGCTTCCCTGGACAGGTTTCTGACTAATTATCCACTTCTATCAGGACTTAAGGACAACATTTATTAAGGTTTTCTTAAGGTGCTAGGAAATCTGTTGTTCCGACAGAATGAGAGAAGATATTTACAAATGACATATCAGATAAAGGGCTAGTATCCAAAATCTGTAAAGAACTTCTCAAACTCAACACCCAAAGAACAAATAATCCAATCACAAAATGGGCAGAAGATATGAACAGACATTTCTGCAAAGAAGACATCCAAATGGCCAACAGACACATGAAAAGTGCTTAACATCACTCGGCATCAGGGAAATACAAATCAAAACCACAATGAGATACCAACTTACACCAGTCAGAATGGCTAAAATTAACAAGTCGGGAAATGACAGTTGTTGGTGAGGATGTGGAGAAAGGGGAACCCTCCTACACTGTTGGTGGGAATGCAAGCTTGTGCAGTCACTCTGGAAAACAGTATGGAGGTTCCTCAAAAAGTTGGAAATAGAGCTACCTTACAACCTAGCAATTGCACTACTGGGTATTTACCCTAAAGACACAAATGTTATGATCTGGAGGGGCATGTGCACCCCAATGTTTACAACAGCAATGTCCACAATAGCCAAACTATGGAAAGAGCTGAGATGTCCATTAACAGAAGAATGGATAAAGAAAATGTTATATATATATATATATACATATATATATATATATATGTATATATATATATATATACACACACACACATACACACAAATCATATGGTAATTGTCTTTCTCTGATGCTAAGCAAACAAATCAATCAGAGAAAAACAGTTATCATATGATCTCACTGATATGAGGAATTTGAGAAATAAGACAGAGGATCATAGGGGAAGGGAGGGAAAAATGAAACAAGAGAAAACCAGAGAGGGAGACAAACCATAAGAGACTCTTAATCTCAGGAAACAAACTGAGGGTTGCTGGAGTGGAGGAGGGTAGGAGGCATGGGGTGGCTGGGTGATGGACATTGGGGAGGGTATGTGCTATGGTGAGGACTGTGAATTGTGTAAGACTGATGAATCACAGACCTGTACCCCTTAAATAAGTAATATATTATGTGTTAATTTAAAATTTAAAAATTTTAAAAAATCTGTTGTCTATTTCTGAGATATTCTTCCCTTGGTTGAAGTACCTAGATGTTGCCACAAGGTCCATGGAGTGTGAAGACCACCAGGAGATTTGACTTTCATAACAGTCCCCTTTCATCTTGTAAGTCAGAGTAACTCTGCTATAATGTTATAAAATAATATTAAAATTAAATAAAATTCACATAAGATTCACCATCTTAACTGTCCTTGGGTATACAGTTCAGTAAAATTCATTCACACCATTGAGTGCTTGATCTCCAGAACTCTTTAATCTTGCAAAATGGAAACTCCCGAGCCATTAAACAGCAACTCCCCATTTTTCTCTCCCACCAGTCCCTGGACACCAGCTTTCTACCTTCTGTCTCTATGAATTTGACCATTTTCATACAGTATTTGTTTTTGTGACTGGTTTATTTCACTTAGCATAATGTCCTCAAGGCTCATCCATGTTGGAGCATGTCAGAGTACGTATCTGAATTCCCTTCCCTTTTTAGGCTAAATACAATATTCTATTGTATGTATATGCCATATTTTGTTTATTTTGTTTATCTATTCACCCACTGATGGGCACTTGGGTTGCTTCTAATTTTGACTCTTATGAATAATGCTGCTAGGGACATGGTATACAGATACCTCTTCAAGACCCTGCTTTCAATTCTTTTGGCTATATACCCAGAAGTAGAATTGCTTGATGATGTGTTAGTCTTATTGTCAATTTTTGATTTTTGATTTTTGAGGAACCTCCATACTGTTCTCTACGGCAGCTATACAAGTAATTCTCACCAACAGGGCACAAAGCTTCCAATTTCTGTTCCTCCTTGTCAACACTTCTCTTCTGTTGGTTTGTGCTAGCCATCCTACTGAGTATGAGTGACCCTGGGTTGTATACTGAGCATGTGCAGTTTCTCTCACGAGCTGTAATTGTCTTTCTTTGCCATTTACGAAGGCACAGTGGAATACAGGGGCTTTTGAGTGACTTTGAAAGGCTGAGAACTTGAGTCGGCTCTAATTTGTCTTTTGTAAAGGAACTCATTTCCACATTTTGGTATTCTTTTATGAGTAACAACTTATTTGTGATATTCCTCATGAGTTATTGAGATGGAGCAGTCAGTCATGGCAACACAATTGAGAATCACTCCTCATTGAATTGAGTTTTTAATTCACCATGGATTCTTGTCATACACCCAAATAAAACAGCACACTCTCCCCTAGATGGCTGCTATAAAAAGGGAGGGTGAAAGCAAAAGGACAAAAGGAAGCCCATCATGTAACAAGATTTTACTTCCCCCCAAGTGGTCTAATCAGGGACGCTTATTAGAAACAATGTCTCTCTTCATCTACAGAAACTCTGAAGTCCAAGGTTTGGAACCCAAACCAGAACATCTATCACTCCTCTCATGTCAGTATTTAGTGATTATGTTTTTGAGAGTGAGTCCTACCTATCCAACTTGGTTATGCAGTAGCATCCAGAGAGAAAAAGTTATGATGATAAATTTTTATGAGTTTAAATTTTTTCCGAGGTTTGTTTTATTCAAACAGCCTTTGCTTAGTTGAGCGGAAATTTATGGGCTCCCCCCCACCGCCCCCCAGCAAGGAATTTACATCTGAAGAGTGCTGCAGACCACTTAAATAGTATTCCAAATGCACAGTGGCTCTTCAGGCTCTGCAAAGACCACAAAAAGCCCAGGATGACAAATGCTAGAACATAGCAAAAAGAAAAAAAAAAATGGAAGAGCAAAAAGACAGGCACTTGGCTAGGGCATCTGGTGAGAACTTGTTTCCCAGCAATTTGCCTTCAAGGCCAAGGGGAAGAAGACAAGGTATGTAGGTAGGATGATGCCAGAAATGCCAACAAGAATACTCCAGTGTGTTCTGTGACTGAATGATTTCCAGTATTGCTCTACCTAACTGCTTTAACTATAGTCAATGAGCCCTTAGGTAACTAAGGCAGAACACTTTTTTGTTTTCTTTTTATTTTTGTCTTTAGCTGTAGTTTGCATTTTCAGGAAAGACTCAAAGATACTGGAAACTCAAGACTGAATGTTTTAAGGCAGGAGATAAGACTGTGAGATAATGACATCCCTGGGAAACCCTTCCTTTACTTATCCAGTACTCAGAACAAATTAAAGAACAGAGGTATGTCTGGGATTCTGTGCTCAGCTTGTCCCATGATCCTGTGTGTGGAGCACAGCTAACCATCCAACCATGCAGACAGGCTTCCAAGTCGAGGCCATCTTACTGACCCTCCCACACTCAGTTCTTTGTTCAGATTATTTCCCAAGACCGGCCTGACATCTCTCTCTCTACCTGTTTTTTTTCTTTTTAAATGTGTAATTTTGCCTTTAGGAAACCTTCCAAGAGTAACAGTGAACACACACTAAAAAACTACTGTCCTGGAGAAGTGGTATAGGGTAGTGGTTACGTTGGGGGGTTCTGGGTCAAACAACCTGTGCTCAAATCCTGGGTGTCCGTCCCACTTACAAGCTATGAGAACTTGGGCAAGTCTTGTGAACCCTCTGGGCCACAAGTTTCACATCCGTAAGAGAAGGATAGTGATATAGTCCTGTGCCCCATTCCTCCCTACCCCCAGGGTTGCTGTGAGCACTGAATCATGAGAAACACTCACAAGAGCATCTGCATATAGCATGTGTCATGCAAGTATCAGGTGTTATTGCCTCCTGGGCCCTCTGTTCCATTTCTTCCTGCTCGGCTTGAGCAGGGGAAAGTACAAAATCCAGCTTTGTGATCTCTACATAATTCACACTTTTAATCTCTTCGTATTCCATTGAGGTGAAGTCTGGGAGTTTATTCACTTTTCAAGCTTTCAAAATATTAATGGCCTATGAAATGGCCTTTACTTACTCATGAGTTATTCTCCTCTTTCCTTTTTATTTTCCACTTTTTTCTTCTCCCTTTTTTGATTTATGCTCACACCAGAAGATATTACAACCTTCCCACCCCTCTATGCTCCAGAGGTGTGGAGGAAATAGAATTTTAACTCCAGTATATATGCTTTTCTTTACTTGAAAAATGGAGAAATTAATTTAGCTTGATTTTTGTTAAATATGCTGGGTTTTTAAAAATTTTTTTGTGTTTCTGTTGTTTCTGTTTTGTTTTGT